TAAACATACTAAAAAATATTTTCAATTACCAAAGTAAAAAAGAATAAGGTCAATTTAAGGTTTGTAAGTAAAACACTACCTTATTTATATCCCCATTTAAATTCATAACAACCTCCTGGTTAGCAGAAATATCTTACATTGTTATTTTTGCCTTTTTCATTCTTTTGGGGTTTCTTGTCTTTTTTCTGTTCTTTACCTTCCGAAATAGATGTGTAACATCACAGCCTAAACTAATTACCTCTTCCAAAATACTATAAAAAATTGAAACAAATAAAGGCATCTACCATATATTCAATAGGATCGTAAGAGCATTAGAAATGGCAGGGCACACTACAAAAAATAGGATGCACATTATCAAAAATGAAAGGAAAGTTGCATCAGGATGGGAAAAGGAACAAAGGTTACTTCAATAAGTACACATAATCTCTTGGATAACATGATAAACAACAAAAACGACTTCAAAAGTAAGAATTCAAACTTTGAGCTACCCCTAACCCTGGGCCCTAAGCACAGAGACTGGGTTAAATCCACATAGAGATATCAAGTAGTACTGCAGATACGCTGGTTTCTCTCTTTTCAGCGATTAACAGCTTTGAGTCATTTGTGCAAGAGTTGGGGATTTTAAATGTAAATGTATGTTCTGTACCATTTTACTTTGCCATGATTTGCCTTCATCTTCATTTTCGAATTAACTTGATTTTATACAGAGGTATAACAGAAAGATATTTAGCTATTTACTAACAGCTTAGAGTCTGCAGAATTGCTTGCATTTAAGCCCAATATCAATTAGAATTTTCCATTTAAAATACTTATTAAAATTCATCAGAATCTAAATGCCTCAAATGTACTACAGAAATACATAAAGTGGATCAGATACCGGTCATAAGCACATATTTGTGAATCAAAATTTCAAAACCCAAATTTCACAGAACAAATAAATGTGCTACTAAAACATTCCATCATTGAAATATATAAAAATAAATTTTAAAAAAGATATTGTTTTCTTCACTTAACGATTAAACACATTATATAAAATGCTATGTCAGTTCTATACAAATATGCTGAAAAGAAAGATTAATATGGCCATCTAGAGGAGAAAAGAATGATGTGAAAATATACCACACATTTTCAGGCTTCAGAATAATACATTTTGAGAAGACACGCAGCCAGAAAATATATGTAATAAACCAATTGATAATAAGCAAATTTTAAGATAATATAATCAGACTTTTCCATAGTTTCAGTAACACAAGCATTACTTTATATTAATTTTGTATATTTAACAACTTTTAGCAGTGCAAACAAAGCCTGTAAGGTGTATTAGTAAACACAAGATTGTGTCAGTAGTACAAGACTATTTCTTTGTCTCTTCCATTGCGATATTTTGTGAGCACAGTTAAGTGCAGGCCTGTCTAAACAAGCAGATATTTAAAATGTGAAGATTAAAGTGCAGAGTAAGCAGTCATTAGTAAAACCACTTATTGGCTCCTTTGAAAACAAATAGGACACTATTGCAAGATGCAATGTATGACAGAGTAACTGCTAAAGAGAAAACAACACAGAAGTTTCTGGAAATGAAATATCATGCATCTTCATCAGCTCATAACACTC